AAGGAGGACTGTAGTGGCTCAAAAAGGCAGCTCACCACCACCTTCTCGAGGGCAACTAGGGATGGGCAAGAAATGCTGGCCAGCCAGTGACGCCCACATCCCACAAAATGAATAGAAAAAGAAACGAGCAGAGGAGTGTAGGGAAGAAATTTCAGAGTTTGGAGCGTGGGCAACCGATGGTATGGTCACTGACGGTGGAGCACTTGTGTAAAAGCAAAATAGTGTAACTCTGGAAATCTGAAATAAAGAAAACAAAATGCCAGAAGTGATAAGTCGGTCTGGCAGCATCTGTGGAGAGAGAAGCCGTGTTAATGTCTCAAGTCCATCTTTTTTTCAGAGTTGAAAGTAGTCACGTAATACATTTTGAGCAAGTGAAACACATGTAGGAGGAATAACAAAGGCAAGGCCTATGATAATGTGAAGGGCAGGAGAAATTAACTGATAGATGGGTACATGGTTCAAAAGGCAAAGGAGATGGTGGTAGTGGTTGTAGGAAAGAAAAAAAACTTGCTGAGAATGGGTGAGTGGCAGAATAACATACACCTGTGTTGACAATCATGAAAAATGAGATTTGAAGGGTGGTGAGGTAAATCATAGAATCCCTGCACTGTGGAAACAGACCATTTGGCCCATCAGGTCCACACTGACCCTCTAGAGAGCATACTACCCCGATTCCCCCCCCCCCCCCCCCCAAAACCTTGTAACCTTGCATTTTTTTATGACCAATCTAATTAGTCTGCATGTCCTTGGACATGACAGACAATTTAGCATGGCCAATCCACCTAATCTGTGGCAGCAAACTGGAGGACTCCAAGGAAACGATGCAGACAAGTGGTGAATGTGCAGACTATACAGACAGTCACCCAAGAGTGGAATTGAACCCTGGTCCCTGGTGCTGTGAAGCAACAGTGCTAACCACTGAGTCGCCCTGATGGTGATGCCCACTGTGGTGATAGAAAAAAAGAGTGGATGGTTTGAGATAGTTGAATGCTGTTAAATGCCTTATCAAAGGTTTAGATTCTGCTCCTCGGACTTGTGTTGACCTTCGCTACATCAGTGCAGAAGGATGAGAATAAATGTCCATGTGAGAGCACGGTAGGGAATTTAAAATAACAGTCCATTAAATTACTGAGTTTTGCCTGTAGAATGAGAGATGTTCCACAAACTGGCCACCCATTCTGCAAGCGGTGTTCCCAGTGTGGAGGAGTCTACTTTGAGCAGCAAATGGAGTATAGTATGTTGAAACCTAGAAAGGGTGTTTGGGGCATTGGATGGTTAGGAAGAGGAGATAGAAGAGCAGTTGTTTGCATTTCCCGCACTTGCCTGGAAAGGTTTGGGTGGTGAAGGAACGATTTTAATTTTTTTTTGGATTGCTGACCTTGGAAGGGAGGGGAAGATGTTTGATGGTGCCATCACATTGGATGTCACAGTACCGGTGGAGGACAATCCTTCAGATGTGAGGTTGGTAGTCTGACAAGAGAAACACTGCTGTGGTTCTTGGTGGAAAGGGTAAGAATAGACGTGCAGAAAAAGGCGGATTTGTTGAAGGCCCTGTCAAAAATGGTGGTGGAATCCTTGGTCTAAGAAAAAGGAAAACATGTCAGAAGCATTGTGTTGGAAGATTGCCTCATCACAACAGATATAAGCCACTCATCATATTCTGTTTTTTGCTAGATCTACTATCCATGCTCATATGTTAGCCCCTACACCATGAGCTTTCACTTCCAACAGTAAATTTTTAGGGACATTACCAAATGCCTTCTGAAAACCCAAGCATAGTATGCTGCAGATGCATCTGTCCATGATCGTACTGATGAGAATGAAGACGAAGCAGACAAAGTCTTACCTTTGCATTAATTGTCTCTTACATTGTAGTGTGTGGTAGTGTAGGAAAGACTTTGAGCAGATCTCACGGTTCAAGACTGGGTATCCATGTGGCATTATGGGCCATCAGCAGCAGCAGCAGAATTGTACTCCAATGCAATGTGCAACCTCATGGTCTAGCATACACTCCACTCAACCATTATCATCAAGCTAGGAGATCAACACGTATTTGAATGAAGAGTGCAGGGGGGCATGCCAGGAGCAGGAATAGCCGTTCCTGAAAATGAGTTGTTAACCTGGTTAAGATCCAAAACTGGATGACTTACATATCAAACAGCATGCACACCAAGTGATTGACAGAGCTAAGTGACTCAACAGCCAGTGAATCAGATCCAAGCTTTGCCGTCCTGACACATCCAATTGTGGTGGAAAATGAAATAAATCATTGGAGGAGAAGGCTCCACAAACATCCCCCATCCTCAATGATGAGACTGCCCAGTACATGAGTGCAAAATAAACTGAAGCATTCAAACAATATCCAGCCTGAAGTATCTCATGGATAATTATTTTGCCTCCTTCACAGTATACGTTTGATAATTTCATTCACTTTTCCCTTGTTGATTCCCCAGTATCAGTCTCTAGAGGGCTAGAGACAAAAAAAAAACTGCAGATGCTGGAATGCAGCTAGACAAGCAGGAAGCTGGAAGAATACTGCAAGCCAGGCAGCATCTGGAGAAAAGGAGCAGTCATTGTTTTGGGTATTTTCTTCTTTGGGATTGGATCTGGGGGTAGGGGTAGCTGCAGATAAGGGTGGTGGGGGAAAGAAGGGATAGAGGCGGAATGGTGGTGATAAGTGGACATTGGTAGTAGGTACGACCTGGTTGGTCGTCGGGAGGGATGAATCTGGTTGGTGGAATGGAAGGGAGGAGTTGGGGCTGGAAGGGGAGCCAGGGAATGGGTGGGAAGGTTATTTGAAATTGGAGAACTTGATGTTGAGTCCTCCGGGCTGTAGGGTATCCAGGCGGAAGACGAGGAGTGGTTCTTTAAATTTGCATTGCGAGTTGCTACGACACTGGAGGAGGCTGAGGACGGACATGTCGAATGGAGAGTGGAGCGGGGAGTTGAAATGGGCGGTGCCTGGGAGGTTAGATTGGCCATTATGGGTCTGGCGAAGATGCTCTGAGAAACAGTTACCTAGTCTACGTTGGTCTCACCAACATAGAGAAGACCACATCGGGAGCACCAGATATAATAGACTAGGTTGGAGGAGATGAAGGTGAAGCTCTGCTTCACTTGGAAGGACTATTTAGGCCCCTGAATGGAGGTGAGGGAGATGGTGTGTTGGCAAGTGTTGCATCTTTTACGGTTACAGGGGAAGGTACCGGGTGGGTTGGAATGGTTGGTGAGGGAGTGTGGCGTGAACTAAGGAGTGGCAAAGGGAATGGTCCTTGTGGAAGATGTTCTAGGTGGTGGGGTCTAATTGGAGTTGGTGGAAGTGTTTGAGGATGATACATTGGATAGAGGGCTAGCATTCACTTTAACTGCACTTGTCTTTTAAAATTACAGTAGAAGCTGTCATTGTTATGCTTCAAGCCCTTCTCCACCAGTGCGCAAAGTTGGGTGCTGGTAGCTCTTAGGAGGCTTCCTGATGAAGGTTTAACCTGATTCCATGTGGTTTGGGGTTCAGAGTCTATGTTGAGCGTTCCTAGTGCGTCTTACCCTTGACTGTGTATATCACTGTACTGCCATCCCTGGTGCGCCTGATGTACAGGTGGGACAGTGTATACTCGGGAGTGGTTTAGTGGTGTCTGAGACACTTTTCAGTGAGTGTGTCTGTATCTGTTTCTTTGTCACTTGACTGGTTCTTGAGACAACTTTCCTAATTTTACCCCAAACCCTACATATTATCAGGAGGATTTTCTTTTCCAGCGTTGATGGGGCTGGGTTTGCCCTTGTCACTTCCAGTACTATCTGGTTTATTTCCTTTGTGGCAGTTTGGTTTTCTAGTTGCAATTTTGATTTATTTTTGGCAGGGAAGCTGATTATTGTACCTAAAATTTTGATATGCAGATTTGATAGGCAGCATTTTTAATAAAAAACACTACACTTGACAATTTCTCTTCAATTTTCACAGACTTCTAATTTCCCACATTAATGAGAACTGTGTGGTTGCACTTGCATTTGTTATGCACCTTTTTTGTTTATGGTAACAATTATACCAGGTAATTTTATTTGACTTAAAGTATTTTGTTCTAAAGTTGGCTAGATCAGGATCAAATCTTTGGAGCATACTTGCCTAATTCCTGTGTGGTGATTAATTTTCATATCATAAGCTGAGAACCAAAGTTCCATATGGAGTAGAATTGATATTTTGCTCTTGATTCATTTTGGTACTGGACACTTATATTTCTGAAAAGCTTAAATTGTTCTTCAACTTGAAGAATTCTTCACGTTTTCAGCAATTGACGTCAGATTTTTAAAAAAAAATCTGAAAAGTGAACACAGTACTTTTGCATAAATGTACAAAAAGCTTATTTATCTACAAAAGAGGAACTAGTTTTAAGTAGATGCTAGCTTTGTGACAGGTTTATTTTTAACCTGTCAATATATTGAACCAGTTAAAATTGTTATGTCATTAACATGTTCAGGTTCTCAGCTTTTTATACTATGGTCACGGTAGGTGAGTTCCACTGGTAACTCCTTGTGTATGAGGCTGTGCTATGCTGACTTCTTTTCTGTTGAGTGAGGTGACTAGGTTTACATGTAAACTGTCCTCGCCTCTCCCCACCTCCCAAAAAAAACAGCAGTCTAATAAGGAATACTTTGTATGTTTATTTTTTATGTGAAAGTAACTTGCGATAATAGGTGTTTTCCTAATTGTCGTTGACCTTTGCTGGCCGTTGTTTGTTTCCTTCATCTTAGTCAATGATATAGTGTACTTTGTTTATAGGCCTGTTGTTGCTATTGTTTAATAATTAGTTAATGGCATCATGGGCAAACCATCTTTCTGCCTAAGAATGCTTTAACCATTAGATATGTAACAGAATTCAGCATTTCACCATCCCTTCAGATAAGAATGTTGTGCCAAACTCTCAGTCCCCACTGCGCAAAGTAGAATCTAATGTTTACTATGCGTTAATGGATTGTAAGCTAATTTGATACAAGGTCTTTGATATACAAGTTTTTTTCATAAAGCATCTATATGGTTTACTGTTGAATTTGCAGCAATCTTATTTCAATTAAAAGAAAATTAAAATTTTTGATATTTAAAAAGATTAATTGATTTCTTTCTTTAGGCTCTTGGATGCTTGCTGTACAAACTTTGTTTCTTCACTCTACCCTTTGGAGAGAGTCAAGTTGCAATCTGCGATGGGAGCTTTACTGTACCAGACAACTCTAAATATTCTCAGAAATTGCACTGCTTAATACGTATGTACGATAGTTTATTTTTAAATGATTTGGGCTCTATTTAGTCCACTTGGAGTAGTTGTAAATATATTGGTTCCTGAAATATTGAAATGAAAATTACGCACCTACACTTCCTCTTAGTGGACATTATATTTTGCCACTGATGCATTTTATTCAGCATTGGATGCAAGGCTTGATCCAGCTTGAAGCATTTACCCCAAACTATTAAGACCTCGTACATGGCTGTAAAACTGCATGCCTTGCTGACGAAAACAAAAGTAGCTCTGGCAAACCTTGCTATACAAAGAAATGCTGCTGATTTCAATTATAATCTTGACCAAATGCTTGAAAAATTTGTAATGTGCTAAAATGTCTCCCTCCTTCATATTCCTTCATCTAAAATTGAGCTGTAGGATTGTTGAGGCATATGGATGTCCATGTTTGATACTTATAAAGCAGAAAATAATATGCTGGACATCCTCACCTAAAGTTATGGTTTTATTCCTGAAAGTCACGAGTTCAAATGAACCAACTTTAAGTGAAGAGAGATAACAAGGTGTAGAGCTGGATGAACGCATCAGAGGAGCAGGAAGGCTGATGTTTCGGGCCTAGACCCTTCTTCAGAAAGGGTCTAGGCACAAAGCGTTAGCCTTCCTGCTCCTCTGATGCTGCTTGGCCTGCTGTGTTCATCCAGCTCTACACCTTGTTATCTCAGATTCTCCAGCATCTGCAGTTCCTACTATCTCTGAAACAACTTTAAGTGAAGCCTGGTTTTCCTATAGAAATCTGTCAAAGCCAGATTTGGGTCTTGCAGACACGTTTTGCTTGAGAAACAATGTGCAGATTGAAATGCTGTACCAAATGTGGGCAGTACTGTGTATTCCTGCCTGAAATAACTTAACAAAATAAAATGAAACACCTATATAAAAAAGAAATGGCATATGCCGTGCCATACATCATAGCATCTAATGGTAGACATTGGTCAGTGCAGGTATTGGCAGGCTAGTAATTGTCTGCATTGTCTCTGCCACGAAATGTAGGCCAGTACTTCAGTGTGCATGAGGAAGCTGAAACTGGTAGTGGACAACAAAGGTAGAACAGAGGGCAAAGGCAGAAGCAAGAGCCATGGTGGAGGCATGTCAGAGTCTGGCTGGGGCAGGGTGCTTACTTTGCAGGCCAAGAGCCTGACTGGAGTGTGTATATCCAGAACCTGACTAGAGAGGGCACGGTGGTAGAAGTGACCTGTGGCGACAACAGACTCTTTATAAGTAAGAATGGAGGACGGGAGCAGGAGCCAGGTAGGAGTGACTTGGTTGAGAGGGTTTCTGAGGGAAGAACAGGGAAAGCATTGGGGAAAAGCTCATGTGGATTTCAACCACAAAGCAGAAAATCTGTGACAGATGACATTAAGGCAAAATTCAATATTAAATGAAAAAATCAGCACTAATCTATTCATGACGCTTAAGGAAAGCACCATTAAGCAGGGGATACTTGTATATCCAACTTGAAAACTATGGGTGATGTTAATTGTTGTGAGTGCTATTTAACAGTAAGGTATTGAAATGAAAGAAGTTCTAACTTGTATTGAAACCTTTTTTGAAGCAGCTACTGTATTGTGAGAATATTCAAAGAGCCTAACAGATGCTGCTGAAAAAAGGAGGGTGCATGAAGTGCAAATAGTATTTTTATTTCCCTGCACACAGAAAAAAAAATTATAGTAATCTAGTTTAATATACTGTGAATTTAAGTACTGCATTTAACTTGTACACTTTTAACTTTTGATTTTTGTATTTAAAAGGCTACATGCTTGAACCAGATCCAAACAAGAGACCGGACATTTACCAAGTTTCAACTTGTGCATTTAAATTGACTGGAAAGGAATGTCCGCTGCCAAATATATTTGTAAGTGTGCATTCTGTTTTTTTTTATAGTGTATTTTTTTTTGTGTGATGGCTCACTAACAATTTAGTTGTAAAAGCATGTGGAACTGGAGGAACACAGCAGGTCAGGCAGCATCAGAGGAGCAGAAAAGTTAATGTTTCGTGTTTACACCCTTCATCAGGATTGAGCCCTTGTCATCTTCAACTTTGTTCTGTTCTCGCTTTTGGTGAGCGTAGTGCATGCGAGGGGTCCCGGGTTCACATCCTGGATGAGCCCTTGTCACCCTCAACAATTTAGTTTGTCTTTTGCAGAGAACCTGTTAGCTGAAAAGTTCTCTCTCTGCAGTAAAATTTTAGATGTATTTTGCAGCTATGTAAATTACGCAGTACTCTATAATTTTTACTGCTAAAGTTTTGTTGTGTTCTTTTGCTATTACTTAGCTAAAGTCAGATTTAAAGCAAAATAAAACCAAAATTTAGAAATATTTCTCGCGCTGATGTGGAATGGGCTGTCCTCCTACGTTACAGTGCAGTATGCATGCTTCTTGTGATGGATTCAATTCCCCAGCAAACAAGTTTGGGTAACTGGACAGCAAAATTTGCTTTTAAGCTGCAATGGTTACCCGTAAGGAAATTTACATCTCTGATCTCTTGTGGCACTGCAACTGAATAAACACTATCAGATGTTCATGCCAGAGTATTAGATATAATCAGTATTATTAATTCTAAGAAACTACAGCCTGTATTTCATTTAATGCTGCTCCCAGATACTAAGCACAATAAAAAGAAGGTAAGGACTTGCTCATCCGATTTCCAACCCTTTTATACCATACTAGTGTCACTGACAAGAGGACTATTGAATTGAATTACTTTTACTATTCTCTCTTTCTGTCTGGAATAGAGGTGGTTTTTAATTTTGTTTCTTATTGTTCTCTTTTCTTTTCAAACAAGGCATGGTATTTTTCTCCAAACACACAGCTTGTGAAGTCCAGTCTTGAAAACTGCCCAAGCAAGTTCTTTGGGGTTAAAGCAGAGTTCGTTAATGTAATCAAAACTATAGGAAATGGTTTACAGCACTTGGTTTCTCTCGTGTGCTCTCTCTCTCGCTCTTGCTTGCTCGCATGCAGAAGCAAGGAAATAAGAGGCCACTTAACAGTAAACTTGAAATTGGTCCATGTTGCTGGCAAAATATAATTCTTTCTAGAAATCAGACTTTTGAGAGATTTTGATCAGAGGAAGGCATTGGCTAAGCTTGGAACTGCTTGTGCTATGTTATAAACAGACTGACAATGAATCAAAGATAGTAGGAACTGCAGATGCTGGAGAATCTGAGACAACAAGGTGCAGGGCTGGATGAACACAGCAGGCCAAGCCTCTCTGCTCCTA